CAGGGAGAAACCTTGTCAATTTCCTCAGCAAACTAGGTGGCAGGTAAGACAAGCATTTTAAACATGAGTTTGTGTTACAATTACTTTGAACAACTTCATCTTCATAATCGCATTATTCCTAATAGCCACAGTGGAAAAAAACAGTATGTCTATCAAGTAATGAATAGATAAAGTGTAAATAATTCATATGTAATAAAAAAAAAAAAAAAAAAAAAAAATGTGGTAAGGTGGAACTAATCCATGTGTCATCAACTCATGAGTATAAAATGTGGCATAACCACACAACGGAATATTATTCAGCAATAAAAAGAAATGAAGTGCTGATGCTACAAATTGGATAAACTAAGCTAAAAGAAGCCAGTCACAAAGGACCATACATTGCTTAATTCCATTTATATGAAATGTTCAGAATAGACAAACCCATAGACAAGGCAGGAGTCTGATGGTTGCCCAGGGCTGGGGGAGATCGAGGGAAATGAGCTCCTCTTGGGGTGATGAAAATGTTCAAACGCTCACTATGGTGATGACTGTACAATTCTACCAACATACTCAAGACCATTCATACTGAATTGTATGATATGAGAATTATGTGTCAATTAAGCTGTGATTTAAAAAACCTCATGACATTATCTATTAAAGCTTCACATATGGCCAGGCGTGGTGGCTCATGCTTTGTAATCCCAGCACTTTGGGCTGCCGAGGTGGGCGGATCACGAGATCAAGAGATTGAGACCATCCTGGTCAACACAGTGAAACCCCATCTCTACTAAAAAAAAATAGAAAAATTAGCTGGGCATGGTGGCATGCACCTGTAGTCCCAGCTACTCGGGAGCCTGAGGCAGGAGAATTGCTTGAACCCAGGAGGCAAAGGTTGTGGTGAGCCAAGATTGTGCCATTGCACTCTAGCCTTGGCAACAAGAGCGAAACTCTGTCTCAAAAAAAAAAAAAAAAAGCTTCACATACAGGTATTCTCTGTTGCCGTAACTCCTCTCCAAAATGTATTCCTAACAGAAATGCACATATATATTTTTTTAACCAAAAGGCCATGTGTGGGGGCTCATGCCAGTAATTCCCAACACTTTGGGACGCTGAGGCATGCAGATCATTTGAGGTCAGGAGTTTGACCAACCTGGCTAGCATGATGAAACCCCATCTCTACTAAATATACAAAAAAAAAAAATTAGCCAGGTATGGTGGCTCTCGCCTATAATTCTAGGTACTGAGGAGGTTGAGGCAGGAGAATCGCTTCAACCTGGGAGGTGGAGGTTGCAGTGAGCTGAGATCACGCCACTGCACTCCAGCCTGGGTGACAGAGCAAGACTGTCTCAGAAAAAAGCAGTATTCACAACAATCTGAAGAAAAAAAAAAAACTTCACCAATAATATATGACCACACAATAAAGTAGTACACAACAATGAAAATGAACGAACGATGGCTCCATGCAACACATGGATGCATACCACTAACATTATTTAGGGCAACAGAAGTCGGACACAAAGGAGCACATAAGGTATGATCCCACTTAAATACAGCTCGGAAGTGAACAGAAATCAACTATTTTTTTTCTTTTTTGTGAGACAGAGTCTCACTCTGTAGCCCAAGCTGGAGTGCAGTGGCACAATCTTGGCTCATTGTAACCTCCACCTCTGGGGCTTGAGAGATTCTCCTGCCTCAGCCTCCAAGTATCTGGGACTACAGTCTCATGCCACCACACTCGGCTACTTTTTTGTATTTTAGTAGAGACAGGGTTTTACCATGTTACCCAGGGTGGTCTCGAACACCTGAGCTCAGGCAATCCACCCGCCTCAGCCTCCCAAAGTGCTGGAATTACGGTGTGAGCCACCACGTCCACCCCTGTGGTATTATTAATAGAAATCAGTATAGTGGTTACCACCAAATGGAGGCTGGCTTAGGGTGAAAGGGGATATGAGGAAGGTCTCTGTGGTTATGGTAATGGGTTCTACAATCTGAATGCCAAATACACGGGTGTGCCTCCTTTTGAAAATTTGTGCAATTGCATACCCATATTTCTTTTTTTTTTTTTGAGACAGAGTCTTGCTCTGTCCCCCAGGCTGGAATGCAGTGGTGCAATCTCGGCTTACTGCAACCTCCAGCTCTCAGGCCCAAGTAATTCCTGTGCTTCAGCCTACCGAGTAGCTGGGATTAGAGGCACGCACCACCATGCCCAGCTAATTTTTGCATTTTTTTTTTAAAGTAGAGATGGGGTTTCACCATGTTGGCCAGGCTGGTCTTGAACTCTTGGCCTCAAGTGATCTGCCTGCCTTGGGCTCTCAAAGTGCTGGAAATACAGGCATGAGCCACTGTGCCAAGCCCTGGATCTTATATTTCAATAAAGAATTTACAGAAAGAGACACAAGAGACTTGTCAACAACAAATAAAGAACAAAAATCCAAATGTGTAGAACACCATGAGCTCCTGGAATGTCTCTCACATTTTTGTGTCCCTCCAGTGCTGTGAATCTAAGGGTACCCAGAAAGCATTCACTGAATGAATCACAGAAGATATTCCTACCTCTACCTTTGTTATAGGAGGGCTGAGGTGCTCTGAATAGAAAGAACACTTCCAATGCCACTCACCTGGGCTTTCTCTCTCTTCGCTCTGATCAGTGTGTCTTGGTAATGCTGAGCTACTTCTGCAAGGACTCCCTCAAGTTTAGCTGCAGGAATCTGCAAGGCTTGCAGAGTCTTTTGGGCATCACCTTCATCCAGGGCTTCATTAATTAAACCAATGGCTAAAATCCCTAAATATAAAGAGATAGAAAGGTTTTTTTTTTAATTAAGGAAGTATATAAACAATCGTGAAACCTACTAACTAATCATAAATCTACCTAAGAGTAACCATGATTGCAACTTATAATTAAGCAGCACTGTTTTTTGTTTTATAAATATTAGTTTGTTTCATTTGAACTCGTTTGTATTCATATTCCTATTGAATGTCCAAGTCCTTTTGTTTCATTTTTAACTGCTCTAACTTAAAAGTGATAAGGATTTTGATGAAACGGGCCTTACTGTATAGCTTTCAGGTGCATTGGAATGTATAATCAAAACCATTCTTGAGTCACAAAGAATCTTAAAAAGGTTTAAGAGTTCTTAAAAAACCAACTAATTCAATACTTTTATAGAAGAAATATCAAGGCTTAGCAATCTCTTCTCCAAGATTATACAGCAAACAAATGGTAGAAAAAAGATCCAAGCCCAGGGCTCCGTAATGCAAGGCAAGGCTCTTCCCACTAAGTCAGTTGAATATTTTTCACAGGAAACGTAAATTAAAATGAGAAACGTTCACTCCCCAGTTATCTCAGGCAGCCATGCTGCTTTTGTAAAGACTCTGCTATATAATAAAAAGTCTGGCTGGTCTTTGTCTTTGGGGAAGGCTCTAAGACCCTTGGAATATCCTGAGTGATAGGTATGTCTCTGTTATTCATGGTGGGCCCCTTTGCCCACACCTGAATTTATGCCAACCAATGACTCCTGGCTGGCCTCTTTTTTTGTTGCTGTTGTTTTGAGATGGAGTTTTCCTCTTTGTTGCCCTGGCTGGAGTGCAGTAGCATGATGTTGGCTCACTGCAACCTCTGCCTCATGGGTTCAAGCGATTCTCCTGTCTCAGCTTCTCGAGTAGCTGGGATTACAGGCACCCACCATGATGCCCAGTTATTTTTTGTATTTTTTTTTTTTTTTGAGATGGAGTTTCGCTCTTGTTACCCAGGCTGGAGTGCAATGGCGCGATCTTGGCTCACCGCAACCTCTGCCTCCTGGGTTCAGGCAATTCTCCTGCCTCAGCCTCCTGAGTCGCTGGGATTACAGGCACGCACCACCATGCCCAGCTAATGTTTTGTATTTTTAGTAGAGACGGGGTTTCACCATGTTGACCAGGATGGTCTCGATCTCTTGACCTGGTGATCCACCCGCCTCGGCCTCCCAAAATGCTGGGATTACAGGCGTGAGCCACCGCGCCCGGCCTATTTTTTGTATTTTTAATAGAGACAGAGTTTCATCATGTTGGCCAGGCTGGTCTCGAACTCCTGACCTCAGGTGATCTACCTTCCTCGGCCTCCCAAATTGCTGGGATTACAGGTGTGAGCCATTGCACCCGGCCCTGGTTGGCCTCTTGATAGTTTCAGGATAAAGGCTGGCCATGCCGGAAATCAACCATTGAGGTTTGGGGTCATGTGATACCAGCCTGGCCTCCCAATGTCCAGGGAGCAGAGGCCAAACGAAAATTGAGTTTAATTACAAAGCCAATACTATCAATCATGCCTATGTAATGAAGCCCAAATAAAAACTCTGAACACCCAAATCTCAGGTGAGTTTCCCCGACTGGTGATACACTTCAATGTGCCAGGAGAGTGACACATCCTGAGAACACAGAAGCTTCATGTTGGGTACTCTCACAGACATTGCTTGATGATTCTCTTCTTTCAGCTGATCTTGATTTATATATTTCATAAAAATATTGTAATCCTAAGTCTAGCACCTTCTTGAGTTCTGTGAGTCATTCTAGCAAATTACTAAACCTGAAAGGGTAGAAGGATTCTCCAAATTTGCAGCCAGTTGTTTAGAAGTACAGTGGCCTGGGAACCCTGCAGCTTTCAGCTGGTGTCTGAAGCGAGAGGAGTTTTGTGGAGGACCACGCCTTCAACCTGTGCAACTGGACTTAATTCCATGTAGTGTCAGAACTACTTGTTATATCGCCATTTAAAAAGAACAGATCATGTTCAATTCACTTCCCTGAAAATTTAGTTCTTACTGGACAAACACCTAATTATAGCAATTACCTAGTGTTCTCAGAACAATATCCAACTTTAGCTTTTTGTGTTATATAGATGTTTTTCAATCTCTCACTCAACAGTCCTTCTAGGAGCAGTATTTTGAGCCATTTCATGGAATCACATTATCATTAATGGTGACATTATTGGGGGAGGCCAGGAAGATAACTCACTCTCATGTTCCTCTTGCACCACCAGGTTCACATGGTCCACGCAAGCTTGGATATCATTCCATGTAATGAATTCATTATTCTCTGCATGTGCCTGAGCTTTCAGTTTCATCAGCTCATCGAGATACCTGCCCCAGACCCCCAAGTAAAAAGACAATTAAGCACAGCATTTTTAAATATTGAAGAAACAAAGATTGCTAGGGTACCATCTGATATATTCTCAAGGCCAGTGTTGGAACTGTGTAGTTACTTTGAACGAAGTGCAAAAATGCAACAGAAATCACTTATGCTCAATATCCTGTTACATGTACTAAATTCCATGTGAAGACTAACTCTAGATCAATGGCGGCAGTTCAAACAGTTCCTCTACAGACAAGAAAAAGGGCGACACATGAGCTAACAAATGCAGAAGGAATGACAGAGGAACAAATCCTCATTCGGCAACTTTTCCTGAAGGTATTGACCTAGGAAAGGTTAACAATCGGGTTAAAAATATTAGGTGAATGCTTCATGGAGAACCGAATATTCTGATGGTGCAAAAGAGATGATGTGCTAGGGATGAAGGAAAAATGTAAAAACGCAAGGGAGGTATAAGTGGTCTCCCTAATCCAGGGATCAATCTTAGTATCTCTAATGGTGGGGAAAATGGGTTTTACATGCTTATTGATAAGAGGCAATATGAAATACACATCACCAAAAATGCTGAACCGAATTGTGAGAAGCCTGTAGGTCTAATTTCCAATTTACAGGAATAAGATGAACATGAGAAAGCAACTAGAACTATCCATAAAATAGGATGTCTTATATGGTGATGGGTCCCATCCCTTTAACAAGTCAGTGTCAGAAGATAGGGACAATTCTAGATTAAAAGATACCCAAGGGACACAACAGCCAGATATAACACATGTTCCTAGGCTAGATCCTGTTTTCCACAGAACAGCTATAAAGGACAGTTTGGGAACAACTGAAGAATGAAAATGAACTAGGTAGGGTTAGATGACATTTAAAAAGTATTATTAACTTTGTCAAAGATAGAGTTATTTTGGCTATGTAACATTTCAGTAAATCTACTTCTATATGTAGGAACGGACCGTCATGATATTTTTCAGCATAACAAAGAACTGAATGAATCAAAGTAGAACCAAACAAAAGTATGACCATAATAAAGTCATAATGCCTAGAAAGAAAATAGGAGCACTGACATACAAAAGTCACAGGGAACAGCTCTGTACTAGATTCATACCCTTCACTCTGGGCACCCACCTCTGACAGTTTTCTCCCTCAATATTGGTAAGGCCAGTAACTGAACTGCTCAATTGCTTCCACACTGTGTTCATGTCTCCTGATTCCAAAGCCCGGTTGATTAGGGCCACTGATGACAACATCTCCACTGCGACAGAGAGCTCTGGGTGGGTGAGATTATGCTGTACAGAAAGGAACAGAAGGGAAAACAGTGAGGAAAGACGTTCTCCATTACCAAGGGAATTATAAGTTTAATAAAACCATAAGGAAACCAAGTTTCCGCAAAAAAAGTTCTACCTAACCACACGAAGAAGTGGGTATTACATTCACTTCCACCCAGTTTTGCTGACAAACAAGACAGGTTCAGTGAACTCACTTCAGGACTCTGTTGCTGCAGGGTAGCCAGCTCCTTCTGATAGAGATCGGCGGCAAATGGATACACTTGGGGCAGCTGGGCTTCAGGGTTCATCAGTTCCAAAACAGTCTTCTCAGCAACACCCTTCTGGATGGCAGCATTAATCGCTGCTACTGCTGCCAACCCTGTGCAGAAAACAGGAGTCAGAAACACAGCGGGCTTAGAGCCCTCAGGGGAAGAAGGTGCCAATGTTCATGGGAAAAAAATTACATCCTGTGGCTAACAGCCATAAAGTTTGAAGGGAAACTTTCACCTTTAAAAAAGCAGCCTCCTTTGTACGAAGAAGGGCTAACTGTATAGTACGTGGACCATAATGCAATAAAGATGTTTTTTTTCAAAAAGCAGCCCCCTAACTGTTCTCATCCGTATTTTCTTCCCATTCAATTCATCCTATATGCTACCACTACTTCCCACATACACCACCTCTTCCTTCTCCTACTGCCTGGCTTCTTAGACTACCAAGGCCTTCCACAATTTTTCCACCCCTTGATCTTACACAACTCAACCCAAAACATTTACAAACTCTGTATTGCAACCACCTTTCCTTAAAGATGTTTTTCACCACCTGTACCTCTGCTCCCACCTCCTTTTTCCCTCTTCGTCCTGCACTAGAAACGTTCTTCTACCTTTCACCATCCAAATCTTAGCAATCCCTTAAGTCTCACCTCCTCTAGATAGTTCCCTAACCAATCATCAATAAAGTGAGCCTATATTGACTCCGTTTCTACTTTTAAAACTGGAGTAACTCTGGCAAAACAACAACAACAACAACGACGAAAAAGCCACACAGACCAACGGAACAGAATGGAGAACTCAGAAATAAAGCCATGCATTTCCAGTCAACTCATTTTTCAACAAAAGGACCAAGAACACGTATTAGGGAAAAGACAGTGCTATGGTCTGGATTCGGTTTGTTTGTCTCCACCAAATCTCACGTTGCAATTTGATCCCTGACATCATCCTGAGGGTATGAAAAAAAAAGTAGAAACTTGATCCCCAGTGTGGTGGTGCTGGGAGGCAGGGCCTAGTGGGAGCTGTTTGGGTCATGGGAACAAACGTCTCATCAATGGCTTCGTGCCATTCTCAGGACAGTGAGCTCTTGCAAGAGTGGATTGGTTCTCGGGGAGAATGGATTAGTTCTCAGGAGAAGGGGTTGTTATAAAGCCAGGACCCCCACTGACTACACCACCCCCGCGTTGGTCCCTCTTCACATGAGTCCACCTGCCCTTTGATCTTCTCCACCATGTTTTGATGCAGCACAAAAGCCCTCACCAGAAGCAGATGCTGGTGCCTTGCTTCTTGTACAGGCTGCAGAGCTGTAAGCTAATAAATTACCCCGCCTCAAGTATTCCTTTATAGCAACATAAACTGGGCTGAGACAGTCTCTTCAATAAATGGTGCTGAGAAAACTGGATAACCATACGCAGAAGAATGAAGCCAGATCCCTCTCTCTCATCATATACAAAAATAAATCGAAGACTTAAATCTACGACCTGAACTCTGAAACACTGGAAGAAAACATTGGGCAAGGCTTCAGGACACTGGTCTGAGCAAAGCCTTTTAGCTAATACCCTGAAAGCACAAACAATGAAAGCAAAAATAGACAAACGGGACAAAAACAGACAAGCTAAAAGGCTTCTTCACAGCAAAGGAAACAAGAAAGTGAAGAGACAACATACAAAATGGAAGAAAATATTTGCAAACAATCCATCTGAAAAGAATAATAACCAGAATATATAAGAAATTCAAACAATAGCAAAAAAATCCCACAAATAATCCAATTTTAAAATGAGCAAATAAGGTGAATAGACTTATCAAAACAAGACATACAAATGGACAACAGGTATATGAAAAAATGCTCAGTATCATTAATCATCAGGGAAATACACATCAAAACCACAGTGAGATATCTTCTTACTCCAATTAAAATGGCTTTTATCAAAGACAAACAACAACAAATGCTGGCAAGCCTGTCGAGAAAGGGGAATGCTCATATACTGTCGATGGGAATGTAAATTACTGTAGCCACTATGGGAAACAGTATGGAGAGTCCCCCAAAAATTAAAATAAAACTACGTATGATCCAGCAATCCCATTGCTAGGTATATGGCCAAAAGAAAGGAAATAAACACTCCCATGTTGATTGCAGCTGTATTCACAATAGCCAAGATATGAAATCAACCTAAGTGTCCACCAATGAATAAATGGGAAAGAAAATACAGTATATACACATGATGGAATTTACTCAGCCATAATAAAGGAATAAAATCCTGTCACCTGCAGCAATGTGGGTGAAACTGGAGGTCATGATGTTAAGTGAAATAAGCCAGAGACAGAAAGGCAAATACCTCCTGATCATACATGGGAGCTAAAAAAAAGTGGATCTCATAGAGGTAGAGTTGCCTAGTGGTTCCCAGAAGCTGGGAAGGGTGGTGGGGAGGAGATAGAGGGTTTGTTAAAGGGTACAAAATTACCAGTAGATACAAGGAAAAGGTCTAGTGTTTGATAGTACAGTAGGATGACAATAGTTAACAATAATGTATAGTTCAAAATAGACAGAGGAATTGGAATGTTCCCAACATCAACAAAAGACAAATGTGTCAGGTGATAGATATTCCAATTACCCTGATTTGATCACTACACATTGTATGCACACATCAAAATATCATACATCAGTGCTTCCTGGTTAGTTATAAAAAATTGGGGTGTGGAGGGAGGGGAGGGATAACATGGCGAGAAATGCCAGATATAGTATGCACCTAAAGTTAAATAAATTTAAAAAAAACAAAACAAATAAAACCACACACATGTACCCTCAAAATATGTACAACTATTATATATCAATTAAAACCACAACAACAACTAAGTGGAGGAACCCTCTTGCCCCCAAAAGTACCTGGCAGTTGGTTATGGCTAGCAGGCTCAGGGTGGGGAATAAGGGTGACAGAAGCTAACCTCCGACCTTTCCATAACACAAAGCTACAACTTTCCTCCCATATTATGTCAATGGACTCGTACTTCTCTGATACTCCTGGGCAGCACTGTTTGCAGCATCCACTCCAGACTGCAGCTCCTCCTTCTGCAGGGGGTCAGCCTGACCACTCTGAGAAAAGCAAAGAAAATTCTGTAAAGATTACTCATGCCTATGACTCCAGGCCTTAAGGTTCTCATCTCTCAACAGCAGTCACTAGGGAGAGAACCACAGGCATAAGTGACAGCTCAGGCTCCATGCAGCCAAGGTGGCAGCCCCAGCCAGAGCCAAAACCCTCTGCCAAAGCCCGGGTGAGTGACTTTACAGATACTAGTACATTCTTAAACATGTTACATCAAAAGCCTCAAAGCGTTCTGAGGGAAAAATGTTTGTAGGATCTTAAGCAGATTAATGCTACTTACTTTGACCAACGTACACTGGGCATTTGTAAAATGTATACTTGCCCTTATTTAGACAAAAAAGAAATCCCCTCATGTTTGTTCTAAAAAAAACTCACAAAATCCCACACAATCTACCCTCTGCACAGTAAGTACTTTTCCAGTGCTGGCCAGAGCAAACTAACGAGGTTCGGTTTTGTTTTTTTTAAAGTGGAAATTCCTGACATAAGAATGCAAAAAAATTCAGGTTTTCCCCAAGGTCTTTTAGTTGGAGACACAGAGAGACAGCTGAAGTGAAGGAGTGGTCAGACTGGGGATGGGAGGATATTGTTTGTTTATTTTAAAGGAGGATTCATAGCTCGAAAAGCAAAAGGGAGCCGAGACAATGTGTATTTTACCTGAAGAACTTTTAAAAACTAATTTATGTGCAGAGGAAAAAACTGCATTAGGGAAAACAAAAAGGCAGCATATATGTCTTTAAATGATAGCATGGGATTCGAATGGATATATACAAACCCTTGCAGCTGCAACCCAGACTATGTTTACCTGTTTCTTCTGCTGTTTGTCACTCAGGAGCTGCTTCAAGTACCAGTCACTATTCTGTTGCTGCAGTCCTCGAAGACCCAGGGCTGGTGACTGCAGAGCCTTGAACAAGGCCAGTGCAACTCCTTGCTCTAAAGCTAGGTCGATATTTGCTAATGCAGAAAATGCTGAGGAAAAAAGGCAAAAGATTACGAAAGGACTATATTAACATAACAGCCTAAAATAGCCTTCCTTCCCCAAAACCCATCTCAGTTCCAGATAAGGAAATGTAACGCAGAGAGCCTTTACTCTGTGGTTCTCAGAAGGGTAAGGTCTTGGGATTGGAAAAGAACCTTAGAGTCATCAAGTCCAGGGGTTCCCAATAAGCTGTTAATTGGATTTCACACAGATTCCTGGGCCACACTGCTAGCATGCTTAAAAATTTCCGGATGTAGGCAGTTCAACACCAATATGGGTAGCAATATAGGAGCCACCAATCCAGACCAACATGATGCTTAAATTCCCTCTAAAATGCCACATAGTTGTCCGGATTATGCTTACAGACTACCAAAGAGGAGAAAGTATGTCCCATGGCCATTTACTACATCTTTGGATAATTTTGTTGCAAATATACATATATATATATATATATATATATATATATATGTATATTTGTTATATATATTTTACATATTTAATATTAAATGTGTAAAAAATCTATGTTGTGTGTGTATATATATATATATATATGTATATATAAAATATATATATTTTGAGATGGAGTCTCGCTCTGTGGCCCAGGTTGGAATACACTGGTGTGATATTGGCTCACTGCAAGCTCCGCTTCCCAGGTTAAAGCAATTCTCCTGCCTCAGCCTCCTGAGTAGCTGGAATTACAGGCACCTACCACCACATCTGGCTAATTTTTGTACTTCTAGTAGAGAAAGGGTTTCACCATGTTGATCAGGCTGGTCTGAAACTCCTGACCTCGTAATCTGCCTGCCTCTGCCTCCCAAAAGTGCTGAGATTACAGGCGTGAGCTACCACGCCTAGCCTGTTTCAAAAATATTTTTAAAGCTCCAACCCTAAAGTTCACACTGAATACATTCAACTGCCCCTCCCTATGAGAGCAAATGCCTTACTAACAGCCTTCTTTCCTTGAGCCACTTCTCATATAGCATCGTTCTGAATCCTCTCATCACCCTGATATTTCCTGAACACACTCCACCCACAACGGTCGGTGCCCAGATATCAAGGGTGGTCCAACCTGTGCAGAGTGGAAGGGGCCATCTTCCCACTCTCCACGTTCTCTCTTCTAATCATAGAACCTGAGGTCACACAAGCTCTATAGTACAATACATGACAATGAAAACCCAGATGTTCCTTCATCTGAAAATGATAATGAAGACGTCTTCTCTCACAGGAGTATTTTTAAGATTAAATAAAATCATATACATAAAAACATTTTATATATTGTTTAAAAAAAAGGTATTATTAGCCTGAAAGTCAGAATAAAATAATTTCTGATTTCAGAAATGATAGCCACTAGGGAATCATAATTACTTTATTACTTTCAGTTTCCTTATTTTTTTGAAGAGAAAATGCCTGTCCCCACCACCACTCACAGATAAACATCTAATTTTATCAAAGTAGCAAAAAGAAATCAAGAAAATACTAAAAATCGAAGTATCTGGGGAATGGAACTTATCAATTGCAAATATTTTCATCAGTAAAAAACAAAACAAAATTAATAAGCTATTAGAAAATCAAAACAGCCCAAAGGAAAATAAAGTCTCAAACTAGAAAATGGGAAGTAGGGGTAATGAGAAGACTAGAACTATTTAAAAAAAAAAAAAAAAAAAAGGAAGAAAAGGTCAAAACATTGCTAAGGATGTGAGGTCTCACTGCAGGCTCCGAAGACACTATTTATTCCTACTATTTATACCTGTCATTCAATTAACTGAGCACCATACCAAGGTGATGGCTTCTCAACCCAAGTCTAGAGGTCTATGTGGCTGTTAGTCAACGAATCATCCACTTCTTCAATTGATATTTACTAAGGATCTGCTATAATGCTGCAAATAAAAGTGAAAAACCAAATACCCTTGTCCTCATGGAGCTTTCACAGTAGCTAGGGACAGGAAATAAAATCAATGTAGATAACAAACTAGACTTTCTCTAAATATATAGCATAGAATCTTACAGTATCTATCTATAAAAGCATCCAGTAAATTTTGCTTTTTCTAGAAGTATACATGTACTACTTAAATATGTAACTATTAAATGAGTGTCTATAAACATTTATATTGCAAAGATGAAAAAGTATAGAACATAACTACTTCCTCTCACTGCTTTAGTTATGTAGCTCTAATTTTCCTTATTCTACTTAACAAAAAATAAAATAAACTGTTTTCATTTTTAACTGTTTGGCCTGCAGCTTTCTCCCTGGGCAGTGTCAGTGGTCTCATTGCTGTTTTGAATGCCCTAGGCAAAAAACTTACCTATAGTTACATTAACTCCTGAAACCGAAAGTTCCTATATCCTCCTAGCATCCAACCTCCTTTGTCTCAGACTTTCTCTACAATTAGGAAGAGGCTGCCGCTTTATAGAGAATTCTGCCTTATCTTCACCCTCTTATCTATTCTAAGGATCCCTGTGAAAATCCATGTATACTGAAAACCTACTCAAACCTCTAAGCAGAAGTCATTATCCCCTTCTTTATCCTGTGACTGCAAGCACTGTTGGCACCTTGCTGGACTCAAACTGCCTTAAAAGTACTCATTTGCATATCTGTCCTCCCCACTATGCTGAAAGGTATTTGAGGGAATTTTTATTATTTTGCTTCTCTGACTACATAAGAATAACATGAATAGAACATTTTAAGAACAAATACATATTATTATTTTCTTACATGTGCTCATAACTGATTCTTACATAATTAGCAAGGAAAAACTATAAAGTTTATAAAATACCAAACAATAAAGTGGAGAAAAATCCCTTAGTAAAACAAAAAATATTTTATGTACTTTATGCAACAGAAACATGCTGGACTTTCTTCTCACAGAGAACCAACCATCAGGACACTCCAGTTTACATTTGCTGACTTAAGGAGTCATACAGATTCAGCATAAGATATCATCCACACTTGAATGGATTATTCTGCTCAGAAGGTCATTATCCTAAATGAACCAGAAGGTAGCAGAATACAAAGAATGCTGGTCATCTACTTGGGAGGCTCAGGCAGGAGAATCTCTTGAATCTTGGAGGCGGAGGTTGCAGTGAGCAGAGATTGCACCACTGCACTCCGGTGTGGGGGAGAGCAAGAGGCTCTGTCTCCAGGAGGAAAAAAAAAAAAAACAGAAGAAGAATGAGGTCACGGTCAGGGCTTAGAACGCCAATCCTATGGAACAGGTAAAAATCTTCTAAGTCTTCTCTAGTTATTAGTATTAGTTTAAATGAGAAATTTGGGCCTCCAAACGAATAATGAGAATAATTACCATTGTTACTGTTATGAGTATCTTGAGCAAAACAAGAGTAAGTCTGGCCTAGTTGGTTGAAATCAAATCTTGGTGAATCTAAACCTATGCTAGCAATTAGGAGGACTTCAAAAGAAGCAGAATATGATATCAGAAATATAGAGCAAGCCATATAAGACAATACATAATTAAGTGCAAAATTATAGAGATGAGCCTGTGTGTGACACAGGAGATTTAAAAGTCAAGCATACTGTAAACTGGTATAGTCAGTGAAGTGAAAATTGAACTGGATCTTGAATGATTGGTACAATCTGGATTAGGAAGAGATGAGGCATGAGGGCATTACAGCAGGGAGTTTACATGACTAACAAAGTGATAACACTACTAATGTTCATTGAGTACTTACTAAATAGCAGGTAATTTACATACACTATCTCATATTATCTGCGTAACAAATCTGCAGGTGCTCAATGTTACACAGCTTTTTTTTTTTTTTTTTGAGACAGAGTCTTGCTCTGTTGCCAGGCTGGAGTGCAGTGGTGCAATCTTGGCTCACTGCAACCTTCACCTCCCGCGTTCAAGTGATTCTCCTGCCTTAGCATCCTGAGTAGATGGGTCTACAGGCGTCCACCAACACGCCCGGCTAATTTTTGTATTTTTAGTAGAGACAGTTTCACCATGCTGGCCAGTATGGTCTCAATTTCTTGACCTTGTGATCCACCCACCTCGGCCTAAAGTGCTGGGATTACAGGCGTGAGCCACCTCTCCCGGCCAGTTACACAGCTTTTAATAGAAGGACAAGAGATCAAATACCAGGTGGTATACCAGATATACAACCGGCCAGATTTAAAAAAAAAAAAATTATTTAATTTTTTTGAGGCAGGGTCTCACTCTGTCACCCAGGCTAGAGTGCAGTGGTGGGAACACAGTTCACTGCAGCCTCAACCTCCTCAGCTAAAACGATCCTCCTGCTTCAGCCCCCAAGTAGCTGGGACGACAGGTGTTGTGCGACCACGCCTGGCTAATTTTTGTATTTTTTGTAGAGACGGGGTTTTGCCACATTGCCTAGGCTCATCTCAAATTCCTGAGCTCGGACAATCCGCCTGCCTCCCTTGGTCTTCCAAAATGCTGGGATTACAGGCATGAGCCACTGCACTTGTCCCAGGTTCTTTATCAGTCATAAAATGCACAGAATGAGTATGGGAGATAATTAGGCAAATAAGCTACTACAGAGAGCTATATGCATGAAATACTGCATAAAGAACTTCACAGTCCGGGCGCGGTGGCTCAAGCTTGTAATCCCAGCACTTTGGGAGGCCGAGGCGGGTGGATCACGAGGTCAAGAGATCGAGACCATCCTGGTCAACATGGTGAAACCCCGTCTCTACTAAAAATACAAAAAATTAGCTGGGCATGGTGGTGCGTGCCTGTAATCCCAGCTACTCAGGAGGCTGAGGCAGGAGAATTGCCTGAACCCAGGAGGCGGAGGTTGCGGTGAGCTGAGATCGCGCCATTGCACTCCAGCCTGGGTAACATGAGTGAAACTCCGTCCCAAAAAAAAAAAAAAAAAAAAAAAAAGAGCTTCACTAGGCTAGGAATGCATTTTGTCTGACAAGTATTAAGAAGTCATGGTGAGTTCTTTACCAGAGTAGTGACAAAATGATACTTTCAATAAATTAATTTCCCAGAAATAATACATATATAAAAGTCAATATTAAAATTATAATCTCATTTTTGTTTAAATGTATGTTTTGGAGACTGGGCAAGGTAGCTCATGCCTGTAATGCCAGCATTTTGGGAGGCCAAGGTGGCAGACTGCTTGAGGTCAGGAGTTTGAACAGACTGGGCAACAGAACAAGACCCTGTCTCTTCAAAAGAGTTTGAAAAAATGAGCAGGGTGTGGTGGCGCATGACTGTAGTCCTAGATACTAGGGTATTTGAGGCAGAAGGATGGCTTGAGCCCAGGAGTTTGAGGCAGCAGTGAACCATAATCACAACTGCAGCCTAAGCAACAGAGTATAACTCTGTCTCAAAGAAACACACACACGTTTTGAAGGACATACAAAAAATGCCAGTAATGTTTATTTCAGTGATGATTATTTCTAAGTGATAGAGTCTAATTTTTGTGGTTTATTGTTTATTCCTAGACAGCTTGCATTAGTCATTAAAGAAAAAAAACAAAAATATAATGTTACTTTACAAAAATAGAAAAATAATTTTTTTTTTGACACAGAGTCTCACTGTTGCCCTGGCTGGAGTGCAATGGCATCATCTCAGCTCGCTGCAACCTGCGCCTCCCAGGTTCAAGCGATTCTCCTGCCTCAGCCTCCTGAGTAGCTGGGACTACAGGCGCACGCCACCATGCCTGGCTATTTTTCTTTTTTTGAGACGGAGTTTCGCTCTTGTTACCCAGGCTGGAGTGCAATGGCGTGATCTCGGCTCACCGCAACCTCCGCCTCCTGGGTTCAGGCAATTCTCCTGCCTCAGCCTCCCGAGTCGCTGGGATTACAGGCACGCACCACCATGCCCAGCTAACATTTTGTATTTTTAGTAGAGACGGGGTTTCACCATGTTGACCAGGATGGTCTCGATCTCTTGACCTCGTGATCCACCCGCCTCGGCCTCCCAAAGTGCTGGGATTACAGGCTTGAGCCACCGCGCCCGGCCTGCCTGGATAATTTTTGTATTTTTAGTAGAGACCGAGTTTCATCATGTTGGCCAGGCTGGTCTCTAGCTCCTGACCTCAGATGATCCATCCACCTTGGCCTCCCAAAGTGCTGGAACTACAGATACGTAAGTGCTGGGATTACAGTCACTGTGCCTGGCCAGGAAAATAATTTTTAAAAGCATGTAATAGGGTGAAAGAGTGAAACTGCAGCCAAAAAGACTGCTATGATGCTACTGCCAGTGTACGAACAAGGTGCTGACTGAGGACAAACGATAACTAAAACGGAGGCATAGAAACACAAACGATTATTAATAAGCAATTGTCAGTAAACAAATCCAGTAATGTCTAAACTACATAAATTAAACCATATTGTAAGTCCCAGAATAGATCAACATTCACATTACAATAAAATATCCCTTTAAATGCCTGGCTCAGGAACATACTTACTATTGACTTTGTTTACATTGCCTTGAATTTCAGCTTGCGTGAGCAGCTCCTCATAAACATCTCTTTCTCTCTCTGAGTTTTCTGTCTGAGGATGAGTAAAAAGTATAATTAAGTTAGCTTAAGATGTCTAAGAAGACCACATAAATACACTTGTGCTCCTCCTGCTCCATAACACTACCAAGAATATGGTGTAGCTTCAGATCCTTTATAAGGAACAAAGCACGCACAGTAGCTCATGCCTGTAATCCCAGTGCTTTGGAAGGCCAAGGTGGGAAGACGGCTTAAGGTCAAGAGTTTTAGATCAGCCTGGGCAATATAGCTAGACCTCATCTCTAAAAAAAAAAATTTTTTTAATTAGCCCAGTGTGGTGGCACATGCCTGTAGTGCCAGCTACTCAGGAGGCTGTGACAGGAAGATTGCTTTGCCCAGAGGTTCAAGGCTGCAGTGAGTTATGACTGCACCACTGCACTCCAGCCTGGGAGACAGAGCGAGACTCTGTCTCAAAAAAAAAAAAAGACAGAGTCTCGCTCTGTCACCCAGGCTGGAGTGCAATGGTGCGATTTTGGCTTACTACAAACTCCATCTCCTGGGTTCATGCATTTCTCTTGCCTCAGTCTCCTGAGTATCTGGGAATATAGGCGTGCACCAACAGGCCCAGCTAATTTTTTTCATATTTTTAGTAGAGACAGGGTTTTACCACATTGGCCAGGCTGGTCTCCAACTCCTAACCTTAAGTGATCTGCTCACCTTGGCCTCCCTAAGTGCTGGGATTAGAGGCAGCACATCCTTGCCTCAGAACTGAGCAAAATGGGCACATGCAGATTCACGATCTTGGAGTCTCACTGGTGAGGCGGGCAGGGGCATGGCAGCTGCTGCTACTTGCCTGCAGGCCAGCTTGGCACCTAACTGGGAAACTGAAATCCCTGCTCTCTCATAGAGACACAAAAAATGTTCTGAGAGCAGGGCTGTCTTTGTTTTGTCATCAACCACTAATTTTAACAAGGAGTAAATAAATTCGTGTGAACTATTTATTCATTTATTTATTTATGAGAGAGTCTTGCTCTGTCGCCTGGCTGGTGCAATCTTGGCTCACTGCAGCCTCTGCCTCCTGGGTTCAAGCGACTCTCCTGCCTCAGCCTCCCCAGTAGCTGGGATTCCAGACACCCACCACAATGCCTTGGCTAATTTTTGGACTTCTAGTATAGACGGGATTTCACCATGTTGGCCAGGCTGGTCTCAAACCCCTGACCTCAGGTGATCCGCCTGCCTTGGCGTCCCAAAGTACTCGGATTATAGGCATGAGCAACCACATCCAGCCTGTGTGAAGTCTTAAATGAGATTCTTAGATTCAGTTTTTTCAAGTAAGAATCATTTAACTAACTTCCATATATCCATAACAACCGTGCACAAATATTTTACCCCAGAGTATCTGGGAAGGAGGAAAGACTATGTTAATATTTAGAAATAATCTTTCCAGAGGGCACTATTAATTTTAATGGCTATACGGTAGAATTTGATTTACACAAAATTCAAGAAGTAGAGGTCAAATAGAATCTCATATCAAAAGATTTCATACTGCATCATTCCATTTGTATAAAATTCTCGAAAAGGTATATGGCAGCAATAGAAAACAAACTGGTAGTTGCCTGGGCTCAGGGGTGTGGGCGACTGACTGCAAAAGTGCACTAAGGAACTTTCTGGGGTGATGGTTAAATGATCACATATATTAGTCAAAACTCAAACCGTACACTTAAAATTCAATGAATTTTGTTGCATGTAAATCATATCTCAATAAAATTGATGTTTACAATGGAGCCATATCAAATGATGGAATAATATAAATTAATTAGAACAGATGTTACATTTTTACCCTGTTTTTAGCATTTGTCATTTTGTCCTGCTTAGCCTGGTAAAGTACATCCTGGTAGGTGGATGCCAAGGGCTCGTCAAGATTTACAAGCATGGCATTGGGATTTTTCAAAGCTGCAAACGTGTCGGCTGGCATTCTACGGTCAATGGCTTCATTAATAGCAATAACAGCAGCATGTACTAACAAAACAAACAAAAAAAAAAAACAATAAAAACACCAAGATTATACAGAGTAAAGGCTGTATATCACAAGAGAAAGCAACATTGCACCCCGCTATTACAGAGGCTCCTTTTCACAGAGAAATAATGACTGGGGTTCGAAGACTGGCTTCCTGGGTACTATGAACCTAGCCTCTTCCTTATGGTATGCAAAGCCACAGCTTCATCTGTGATCCATGTTTGGGATGCTGAATTTGGAATTTCACAGATAAATATTCATAAGACAGTCTTGCAAGGAGCACTTGCTATGGAGTTATTTGCCTTAATTACCAAGTAAACACCATAAAACAGTAAGAAACTCAATGAGCCATGGAAATGTAGCACTTCCTTTTTAAATGCTTTCATTTTAATCAGAATTAATCACATATTTCCAAATAATTATAGCACGGAAGACTCTGTGTTTACAACTACATCTACGGACTTAAACTTGCTAGCAAGATTCATAATGTCCTAGATCATCACTATAGAATTAATTATTGGAAATGGTAGTAACAATCCCAGTTGAACCCACAAGATTTCTCTATTCTTACATGCAGCTTCGTCCACTGAGAGTTCATTAGCCAGAATGCCCCCAATCTTGCTAAAGGCAGGCATCTGGATGCCATACTTCTCCAACTCAGTCTTCATGTTGTTAATTTCTTCTTCTACAGGAGGGAATTAATACCCAATCAGTGAAGTTAAGCACCTTTCCAGAACCAAGAGAAGGAAACACATTCCTCAACTATGAAATGGGATCAAATGGCATTTACCTTTTAGGGTTTTATAAGGATATAAAGATATAATATATGGAAAGCACTTGACACAGTAATAGGTATATAAAATTCAGTCCAACTTTATTATTATATCAAGGGCATCAAAAATAGCTATTAAGTGCGAAGGCCCTACAGGAAATGGTTTTTCAAAATGGCTACATATGGCATTTCCTACAATGAACTTATGAGTGGGACAGCTTTAATGTGAGCTCAAAAATAAGTGAATCATAAACTAAGTTATCTCAGTCTTTACAATCCAAATCATTAGCTGCTATTCAACAACTTCATTTCTAAGGCAGAAAGCCAAATGATAAAGAAAACATGTAAGGTTTGGTCTTTGCCCCAGGTCTAGTGAATAACTTCCCTGGAAAGAAAAATATCATGAACAAAAACTTTCTTACCAATTCTTAAACTTCCAGGCCTACAAAATTATCACCACTTTGAAAGGCTTGAATCTAACTTACCCTTAAACAATATTACCACTGCCATTTTCTTCCCAACCCCTCATCTCTTCAAGCATCTGGCTATAGCAAATACATATAGAAACACCCACCCAAATAAGCTTAAAATTTAAAATTACTAAATTTCCATCTTTGTGTCATCTTGCTTTGCCCACAACAGATGCTTGCTGGAAGGGGAAGGGAAAGACAGTTATAAAGCTTTTTTCAACATACCTGAACTTTTAATGTTATTTGTTAATATTATTATATGTTTTACATTCGTTAATGTTATCCCCAATTTATGTATAAGAAAACTGAGACTCATTAATCATGTTCACATTGTAAGTGAGAGAACAGAGCTTGAAATTCCAAGTTTAGTCTTCTTTGCCCCACATTAGAGAAGCAAGTTATTCATATTTCTTTTACCTTCATTGCCAGAGTATTTTTAAAGCCCTAGGTCTTTAAAATTAGTACTGCTGGCTCCCAGGCTATTTCCACATAATTCAAGCATTTACAGCCAAGTCTGTAACTCCTTACCTGTGAAGTCAACCTTTCCATATAGGTCTTGAATTTGAGGGGCCAGGCCTAGCTTGAACAGGTACAAACTAGAAGATACAATATGCAAAAGGTTAGGCCTCCCAGCTGTACCTAGCTGCCACCCTTAAAAGGGGAAAATCAGCATGAAGAATAGAAGCGTTCTGAACACGGAGACTCCCAGTACCTACAATAGCCTCCTTTGTAGTTATAATAAAACTAAAATACTCAGAGCCTTTTTTTTTAGTTTTAGATGACAACGTTGTCCTAAAAAGTCACATAACACAATGCAAAGAACACTGGATTGGGAGAAATCAGCAGGCATAAATTCAAGTTTCAGTTTCAGCACGAATTCAATGTATAATTAGATGTTAACAGCTGGGCACGGTAGCTCACATCTGTAATCCCAGCACTTTGGGAGGCTGAGGTGGGCAGATCACCTGAGGTCAGGAGTTTGAGACCAGCCTGGCCAACAGGGCAAAACGCTGTCTCTACTAAAAATACAAAAATTAGCCAGGCATGGTGGCATGTGCCTATAATCCCAACTCCTTGGGAGGCTGAGGCAGAAGAATCACTTGAACCCAGGAGGTGGAGGTTGCAATGAGCCGAAATTGCACCACTGCACTCCAGCCTGGGTGATACAGCAAGACTCCAACTCAAAAACAAACAAACAAACAAACAAAAGATGTTAACATTAATGTCAATATAATTAATAGTGAAGTCTCTTTATTTGTTTGCTTCACTAGGTTTTAAATAACAAGACATTTTAAAAAAGATTCATCAAAATGATGCAGAAGGCAATCTTACTTAAACTGAATTCATATTACTGATGGAAAAGTTTAATCCAGGTAATTTAACAGTTTTTGATAAAGAATGTTTTATATATTTTTTACTTTTTTAAGTATCAGATTGGTAAAAAATATTTTTACTTTTTAAATTTAAAAAAACATCAACTAGACTAAGACTATAAGCCTCATGAAAGCAGTCACAGTACAGGGCTCATTCACTAATGTCTACCCAGAGCCGAGCATATATTAACAAACATTAATCAATATTTCAAAGATGGATGGATGGACAAATTAATGTCCATAAGCCTGTGTTAAGTGGATTCTGAAGCCCTAGCAGATCAGAACCAATAATTTAGAAGAGATCAGAAGGGCACTTTACAGATACTGACACAAGCAAGACAATGACAGTTTTAAAGTAAACAGGGAAATAATGCATAAAAAAACAAATCACAGAAACACAGATGATAGTGGTATCATCTAAGTACCACTTCAATATCATCTAAATACCAACATGTATCATGTATACTGCAATCTCAGAACTGTTCAGAATTTATACTGTACGTAATAAACCCAAATGTAGAACAGAAAAACAAAAAAACACATATTCTCAAAACAAATTAGCATTTATACATCCACAGCAGCTAATCATCTTCTCAGAGAAGTGTAAGTATAAATTACATGCACATGATTAAATGCTTTTGTTTCAGGTAAAACACTCAAAATAGATATATAAAGCTTCGTTCTCAGAAGATTTTAAATGTATTCAAAAAATGTCTCCAGACAGGGTATAGTGGCTCATGCCGGTAATTCCAGTACTTTGAGAAGGAGAGACAGGAGGATCACTTGAGGTCAGGAATTCAAAACCAGCTTGAACAACATAGCAAGACCTTGTCTGTACAAAAAAAATTTTTTTAATTAGCCAGGTATGGTGGTACATGCCTGTAGTCTTAGCTATTTGCGAGGCTAAGGCAGGGGGACAGGGAGGTTGAGGTTACACTGAGCCAAGATCACACTTCTGTGCTCCAGTCTAGGCAAAAGAATAAGAATCTGTCTCTTTAAAAAAAAAAAAATTCCAAAGCAAAATAACTAATAACTTTCTACACTTGCAATACGTTCTTTTATATGTTTTTCTCACTGATACCCCACACCTGCATTTTTAATTGCGAGAATATTTTTCTCCAAGAATTTCCTCCTCATTTATTCCTACTTGGAAATAGGGAACAAGAAATTTTAAGAAAGTTCAAGAATGTTACTGATATGGTTTGGTGTTCCTATCCCAATCTCATGTCAAACTGTAATCCCCAGTGTTGGAAGTGAGGTCTGGTAAGAGGTGACTGGATCATGGGGGCGGATTTCCTCTTTAGTGCTGTTCTCCTAACAGGGAGTTATCGCTAGATCTGGTTGTTTAGAAGTATGTAGACCCTCCCCGCCTCTCTCTCCCTTTTACTCCTGCCATGTGAGACGTGACTGCTTCTTCTTTGCCTTCTGCCATGATTGTAAGTTTCCTGAGGTCTCCCCAGCCATGCTTCCTGTACAGGCTGTGGAACCTTGAGCCAATTAAACCTCTTTTCTTTATGAATTACCTAGTCTCAGCTATTTATAGCAGTATGAGAACAGACTAATACAGTTGCTTTCACAGTACCAAGAACACTGAATTAGCTTTTAATGTCTTTCAATGGTAAATTAAAAGTGCTACAACCATATCACTGGCTGGTATAAAAAGTAAACATGAGCACCATCTTTAGCTCTCTTTAACGATTACAAGTATTTTATGAAGATACTGGAGTTATGAATGGATTAAAAAATGGCCAGTTAAATCCTCTTATCCACAATCAAAAGTACTTAGCTTCACACTGAAACTGATAAACCCTAATGGTAAACAGCACTTTCCAATCTTTGCTCCTGCTCTCCCATGCCTAGTTCTATCAATACACCGTTAGGTACCGATAAACGGGTCAGCCTCTAAGTGAACTTAGATTTCTTTTTCTTATTTCCTACTTAAGGTGTACTTTGTAGCAATGGGTAGAAGGAAGCTGTGTAACCTACCTGGATTCGAATTATCTTTTCTATGAATGGTAATCTAGAAGTCATTATGCCAATTTCAAAGATTATTAATAAAGACCCTGAAACACAGCAGGTGATTAGGAAACAGAATCTACTAGCAGTCCATACTCCCTTATCCAAATTCTCAGGGCCAGCTATGTTTGAATGTTGAATTTCTAAGACATTAGAAAGTGTATTTCTATTTACAGTGTACATGGTATTATAAAGTATCCCCAGCAAGCCCTGGGGCAGCATTCTCAACGCAATACATTACTTTCTACAGAGAAACACACAAACATAATCATACTAAGGAGACAAATGAGCCTACATTAAACTTAAAATCAGTTTTCAGAGAGTTTAGGGTTTTAATTTAGGATAAAAGATTATGGACCTGTTTAACCACAAAATCAGTTCTCAGAATAACAAAACAGGGGAAACAGAAAGAGTATACAAATATTTTGAGAATAATGGAAAACTGGGGTCTTATCTGAGTGGAATGTTATCTACAAAGGTAATTCAGTATGACTAAAGCACAGTGACTATCTCTGGAATAATGCCAATCAAGACTTTGGGGGAAAAAAAAAAGGCAAGCAGGGAGGAGATAGGTAATGCTTTTCTGTCACTGTTGATCTTTGCAAAGGGAGATGGAGCCTTAACCAATACAGTGAGGTGAGGAGCCTACTTTGAACATAGTTGTGTTTTGGGGTAAAAGAAGAGACTCTCAGCAATTACAAATACTTCCTACATATTATCAAATGTTAACAATCCACCCTTCAGGAAAAAAAAACCTAAAACAGAAACCGTAAATCACGAAACACACTACTCCCTATATACGTTCTAAGCACAGGCTGCATGTTCAAGAGAAATGGAAAACAATAGGGGACTTCCTCTCTTTCTCATTCTGACTCTACCACTAGGAAGGCATAGTTAATTCCTTAGCCTCTACTTCAGAGAATTGAGGGCCTGGGACCCAAGTCACACTACAGAGAGTAGTGGCTACACAACTAGCAGTGAGGAATCCTGCCTGCACATTCAGGTATCCGTGGTAGTCCAGCCTTCACAAGATTACCAACATAGACAAATCTCCAAACACAATACTCAGAGTTAACCTGATCCGGACTCAGACATACATATTTGTTTTTAGAGACAGAGTTGTCCTCTGTCGCCCAGGCTGGAGTGCAGTGGCACAGTCGTAGCTCACTGCAGCCTCCAACACCTGGACTTAAGTAATCCTCCCACCTCGGCCTCCAGAGTAGCTAGGACTACAGGTGTGTGCCACCATGCCCAGCTAATTTTTTATTTCTTGTAGAAATGGGGTCTTACTACGTTGCCCAAGATGGTCTCGAACTCCTGGCTTCAAGCAATCCTCCCACCTTGCTCTCCCAACAGCACTGGGATTACAGGTCCGAGCCACTGTAACCCAGCCTCAGACACATATTTGAAATTGCTACATTCTCAACATGAGATCCACTAGTTCTTAGCTATATTCATCCTTTTGTATGTTTCACACTGATTCTGGTGATACCCATGGATCTAGCACATGTTTAATCAAGAAGCTGGAGGCAATAGTCTTCTCAGAGATCAATATTATATGCCTACTCCAATGTAATTAACATCTAGTAAGCACACACACAAGATGCCATATAAGAAGTGCAGCCCAAGCCAAAATCTCACTCATGTCCCACCTGCTCTGCCATCTTCTCCTTGAGTCCTATGGCCATCAAATGCATTTGCTAAAATACTACACTACTGTACCACAAGTTGAATATACTAAATCTGAAAATGCAAAATCTAAAAATTTTTGAGCACCAACATGACCCTCAAAGGAAATGCTAATTGGAGCATTTTGCATTTCAGATATGGCATGCTCAACTGGTAAGTATAATGCAAATACTTCAAAATCTGAAACACTTCTGGTCCTGGGCAGTTCACATAAGGAATTCTCAACCTGTATAAGCATCTACTCCTATCCCATCCCACCTTTCTTCCAGACTTGTATCTTTTCCTTCCAATTTAATTTAGGATTCTGGGGACCTGAACTTAAGTCACATTCCAAATTTACCATAACATTGTGGGAAAAAAATGTATTTTGTTTCATTTCCTACTATCATGTTTGTGTTGGTATAAAAATTGTTGAATGAACAAACAAATGGCTTAACAATGGCAAGGACCTAGATAACTAAGAGACTGTACCCTAAGTGAATGCATAGTTCACAGAAACACTAGATCAATTATGAAAGATCATACCATGTTTTTAGAACAAAATTATCTGCTATTAAATAAATAAATCCCTTCTCCATACTCCCTAGAAAAACACAGCTGTTTCTCACTGTTTTGTTAGGATAATAGTATTTTATCCTATTTGAAACTTTTTTTTTTTTTTTTTTTTCTGAGACGGAGTTTCACTCATGTTACCCAGGCTGGAGTGCAACGGCGCGATCTCGGCTCACCGCAACCTCTGCCTCCTGGGTTCAGGCAATTCTCCTGCCTCAGCCTCCTGAGTAGCTGGGATTACAGGCACGCGCCACCATGCCCAGCTCATTTTTTGTATTTTTGGTAGAGACGGGGTTTCACCATATTGACCAGGATGGTCTCGATCTCTTGACCTCGTGATCCACCCGCCTCGGCCTCCCAAAGTGCTGGGATTACAGGCTTGAGCCACCGCGCCCGGCCATGAAACTTTTGAAGCTAAAGAAAAAACTTCTTCATTCTTACCTCAAGGATAACAAGCTACACATTCAATTCAGATGTTATTCATAATTTCCTGATTTTGCCAAGAAAATTTGATTACCTGAGTGCATGGATACAGTAGATACACCTTGGCATGTTCTTTCGATCATAGATATCTGTAGTTTCTGGGTAAAAAATCTAGGGAGAAATAAAAGAAATAGAGTAAGGTATCCATACACTTTGTTCATTTGACCTTCATCATCAGCAATACAAATCAAACTATGGACAGTTAGAAAACATCATTGGCATTCAGCAAATGACTTCATTAGGGTGGACATTTCATCGTAAGGTTGCAAGGAATAAAATGCTACAACACAGAATAAAAAGTACTACTTGGAAAACCTCTATTTGGTCAACCAACTGAATTTCATTAGGTCTGAGAAGGTGACTTACTTATTTCAGACCCAGATACAGGCATATAAAGACAAGTTCTAGTCCAGCTGAAATCACTGTACTGATCTGAGTATGAGGCTTTCAGAGCCATAATGTTCCTAGTTACTATCTACCATGCCTAGATGGAGAAACAACTCAACAATGAACGTTTACTAAGTGCTTTAGTTTGTGCAGCCTGCTGTGTTTTAGAGATTGAAAAAAACCATAAAATATTAAAATGTGTTATACTGCTTGGAAGAAATGGGAAGCTACCCAGATAGAGTAGCTAGAATGGAGCATGTATAAGAGAATTTAGAATACAAGTACTTTTCCATGGTAGCACTTATCAGAATCAATCATTTGTGTTTATCTGTTTGGCTTCTCCAAAAGACTATAAGCCACATGAAGGCAGGGCTAGATCTACGTTATTCATTGCCATATCTTGAATACCAAGCCCAGAGCCAGGGTCATGGAAGCTCTATATTTGATGAGTTAATGAATGAGGCAGGATAGGAACAGAATAGATTTAGACTGGGAGTAGCCCTGAATTTTAAGACTTTTCTCACAGTCATATGGCACCATACAATTCAATCTGTAATTCTGGGAAATACGGGGTGACAGTGGATTGGAGAAGTAAAAAACCGAATAATGAGGTGAGAAGAATCTAGATAAGCAATAAAGACCTATACTAAGACTGTGAAATAATAAACTAAAGAAATGAGTGAATCATGATAGAAAGCAAAAGAAGGTCTTCCAAACAAGAGAAACAGCCAGAATAAATAAGGCAGAAATAATCATGAAGACTTTGTGAGACAGTAAGGTAATATACCCTACTGTTTTCTAAAATCTACAGAATACATTCCAGAAAGTAATAGAAAAATAAGTTTGGATAGGTAGGATAAAATCATATTATTATGAGCAGCTTGAAAGTCAGACAAGTTTGGGGCCAGGCGCGGTGGCTCAAGCCTGTAATCCCAGCACTTTGGGAGGCCGAGGCGGGTGGATCACGAGGTCAAGAGATCGAGACCATCCTGGTCAACATGGTGAAACCCCGTCTCTACTAAAAATACAAAAAATTAGCTGGGCGTGGTGGCGCGTGCCTGTAATCCCAGCTACTCAGG